GTTCGATCAAGGGCAATCGGGACCTTCCTCTAAAAAATGTATAAGGTCGTTGGAGTCCAATGAGTCATTGTCGTCCTCAATTGCATTAAAAGCGGCGGCGGCCGGCGTTTTTGTAATCATCATCTTGTTCGGCAGTGGCGGCTTCCTCAACATTAAAAAGCCTCTGGCGCTTTTGGCCAGGGTTTCTCTCAGAGGAGTTTGGTCTATCATGGGCATGTTTATTACTTTCCTGCCCAAAGTTTGAGGGATGTCTAAACTTTGAAGACGATGGATCTATTTCCATCAGTTCTGGGGATTGATTTTGTTTGGGTAGGTTAGAGACGCAGTCGTCCCGTTAGCAATATTCTGATTTCTTTGCTTCACCGCCCTGGCATATGTGGTCGCGAACATACTTCGTTCAATACTGGCCTCTGCCTCTCTTGCTAATGCCAGTGCTTTGGGTTGTGCTGGAAAAACAACAACCTCACAGCTCAATATTTAACTCTAATTGTGTTCCTACAATACAATTTTTAGCTCATTTCAAAACTGGAGATTCAATAAAACTTCCTAGAAGTTAAAATTGAATGCAATGAATGGGATTGCATACAAAATTATGATAAAACTCTTCTCGGGCTAAAATGTTTTACAATAATTTACAATAAATAAATAAAGAACAATTAATAAATAAATAAATCTAACAATTTTGATAATGCAAGCGACATGAGTACATTTTAGGCTGAACTTATCCACGCCAGCCAAGCAAACTGCTTTGGCTGCACACTGTCGAAACTAATTCGACTGTCTCTAAAAGTTTAAAGCGATGATGAGGTGATGATTAATTATGTAATCATTTCGTAGCATTAGTGATACTTCAACCAAATTTATCACGATATCATTACCAGCCGACTGGTATGTACCAGCAAATCCGACTGCCGAAAGAAACTATAAATTTGTGATGCGCAACGACAAATAAGGCCCTCATGACGAGCGAAAAAGATATAAAGCAGCAAGATCGGTAAATCGGCAGCTCCCTCGCAAATCCCTATAACACTTGGTGCAGATCTGATGCTGAAGTTTCCTTGGCTTTTGCTGACGAATTGGAAGGACGATTTCAGCCATTCGACCTTGCGAAGCCCGAAGACGAAGCAGCATTAACATTCATTAATACTGCATGCCCAGCTGCAGAGCCCATTCGTCATGTGAGTCCGGATGAACTTTGTCTACAGATACAAAAATTGCAACCCAGTAAGGCCCCAGGATTCGACGGTATCGATAGCAGAGTTGCCAAAGCTCTGCCAAAAAGGGGTATACTCTTCCTTGTGCTCCTGTTTAACTCTATGTTACGTATCCACCACTCTCCTACACAATGGAAGTGCGCTGTGAGATCGATTATACCAAAGACAGGCAAACCGGAGAACCTTGTTGCGTCATACAGACCAATAAGCTTGCTGCCCACATTCTCTATAATATTCGAGAGAATATTTCTTAGCAGAATGATGGCAGTTAGTTGTGTTCAGGATGCCATTCCAGATCACCAGTTCGGCTTTCGGAACCTCCATGGAACCCCAGAACAAGCACATCGTGTAACGCAGCATATCCTAGATGCCTTTGAAAACGGGCAATACAGCTCTGCAGTCTTCCTAGACGTGAAGGAAGCATTTGATCGTGTGTGGCATAATGGCTTTTTAAGCTAAAATCCCTTCTGCCAACTGCGCAATATCTTCTCCTAAAATCGTATCTGCTGGAGCGAAAATTCATGGTCGAAGTGAGAGGTGAAAGATCTACCATCAGATGCAGTCGAGCTAGCGTTCCGCAGGGTAGTGTACTGGGTCCTGTTCTATACACCCTCTACACTTCCGACCTGCCATATCCCAGAGATCCGAGTACCCTTTTGGCAACGTATGCTGATGACACAGCCTTCATCGCAAACTCGCCGTGTCGATTGGAGGCATCCAGGAAAACCCAACAATTCTTGGACCTGTATAGCGAGTGGACAAACAGGTGGAATATATCCATCAATGGAAACAAGTCCCAGCATTGCAATTTTCCCTGAGGCATAAAGTCCTCCCTAGGGTCAAATTGCAGCAACTTGCCGCGGGAAGCTTAGGAAACTCAACTGGTTTTTGAAGCCAGCGAGCCAGCTAAGCCTAAGGAACAGAGTGGTGCTCTACAGAGCCACAGTGGTCCCTTCGATGACCTACTGCGTCCAGGTATGGGGTACGGCCTCCGATTCTAACATCATGCGAGTGCAAAGGGTTCAAAACCGAGCGTTGCGCATGATCACAAATGCGCCCTGGTATGCAAGAAATGTGGACATTGCAAACGACCTCAACCTCCTCACTGTCCTCACAACAGATCAATCACCATTCAAGTCGCTACAACGATCGGCTTCAGGCCCACACGAACCACCTAGCGGCTTCTTTGGCTAACCCGACGTACAGGCGCAGATTAAAGAGGCGACATCCAGGAGACCTTTGGACAACAAGGAGGCGACGAACGCGGGGGCTCCTCCAGTAGTCAAAAACAAAATATAAAATCCATTGCAATAAAAATTGTTAGTTTATCCTTCCTTTTATGTTTCCATGTTATGTTTGTCACGATTTTGTTAGTTCCTACGTTTTAAATCCATTTAATTGGTTGCTTAACGTTAAATAAAAATGTATTATTATCTCAAAAAAAAAAAACAGGTGCCAGTTTAAAAGAAAATGGTAAATATTTTCGAATTAAGGTCATGAAATATTCCATTGATTAATTTTATAAGCAATACACAAAAAATGATTATTTAAGAAGTGGCTTACCAAAATGTTTTTAATATACCGATAAAAATTGGGAAGAATAAAACGAAAAAAAATCAAAAGATTGGATGTCTTTGTTATACTAATACTTTTTACGTTAAGGGGAGAAATGTGTTGTTTTTAAAATCTTAAGCCCATATGAAACAATTTTTTGTGTATCACTGAATTAATGTTTTTAAAAATTAAAAGTTTTTTAAATTTTAATATCACCCCAATAAAATATTTTAATTTATTAAAATTAAATTAATCTTTACAATTAAAATAAATAAAATATAAAGATTTATAGGGTCTTCTCGTCTTTTAAATAAATTGTAGCTTTTTGTCTAAAAAATAAAATAATATTATTTATTGCTTTACCTTCATTACGATTACTTTATTTATTAAATGAAATTAATGAACCATCTGTAACTTAAAAAAGAATTGGGCATCAATGATACTGAAGTTATGAATATTTAGATTTTAATAATATTGATGTTGAAAATCGGTTCAATAATTTCTGTAGAATTAATTACACAATGTTGAAAAGACGGTTTCGCAAATATGACGCTCGGCGCTCTTGGCGCCAGTCACTTCTGGAAGGCATATCTTCCACAGCTTCGAGAATTAGCTTTTATTAGCCATTTGTTTGCCAAAATATTAAAAAACAAAAAAAATCAATTGTTTAAGTGTCTAAATGTATTTCCCCACATAAGGTTAATTGGACATGTTCTGGAATACAGGATTCCAACTTAACTGAAAGGAAGCTTGCCCCAAGTTCTGTAGGACAACAAAATGCCAAGGACTTTGAAAGATTAATCTAGCGATTTTACAGTTTAAAATGTGCATAAAAGGCGGTGATTAACGGCGTTTCTGTAGGAGCTTAAGAATTTTTCCTTATCTCTACCAGAATTTTCGGCAGTTTATTTAATGTTTTTAGTGGGTCTGGCCGCGCCAGTATATCTTAAATGATTTATTGTAAACATGACTACTTTAAGAAACTCAATTATGATCTACGGCACCTCAGCTGAGCAATTATATCTGCCTCTCACGCGCTCTCTATCTCTCTCTCTCTCTCTACTGTAGGTACGCGTCCTTTTTTTTGTCTTTTTGTGCAAGAGCCAGAGAGAGAGCGCTCTAGAGCCAGCATGCTGCAGCAGCTCTTTTGTTACAGCGACAGTCGATCACTGTACGTGTGCAAACGTATATATTCAAAATTTGACAAAATATGCCCTTTACTTTACAAATTTATGGACTTTAAATCTGTATTATATTTGATCGAATTTTGCATTGCGTTAACATGATAATTTTTGTACATAATAATGCCTAATTAAATTCATTAACTACTTTATACTAGAATAATTGTTGTTAGAGTATTCAGCTTGCAAGGTGAAAAAACATATTTTGTTAGTGTTATGTCCGCTGGTCCTGCCTCAAAAGATCAATTTTGCAATAAATTCTATTTATCGATTTTTATGCTCTCAATTTATTAATTGTGCACTTAATGCATTGCTCTGCAACACAGTCGTTCTTACATTGCAATAAATGTACATAATAATAATTTCATAGATTACTTTATACTACAAAATATGTCGTTAGAGTATTCAGCTCGCGACATGGAAAATATATTTGAAGTTAGTGATTCTTGGGTGCGCTGGTCCTGCCTCAAGAGTTCAATTTTATGTAAATTATCAATTTTCAGTATTTTGCAAATGCAAATATTATTTTGTTGAATGTTTTTGTTATATTCTAATTTGATATTTTTAAAAACCTCGCAATTTGCGGGGGTAAAACGGCGCTCCAAATTTATTGTTTCTTCCTTTAGTTCCTCTTAATCCGTTTTTTAAAGCTAACAAATACATAGAGCTCATCGTTTGCTACTATTTTTCCAAATTTTAATAATATATCCGTATTTATATTCAATAAAAGTTGATATGTAAAGTTCAGTTGTAAACGGTAGCTAATTCGAACGGTGATTTTAACTAACGAATATTAAAATAACTTCTTAAAAATAATAATAGTTAGAGCAACAATTTTTAAATAATATTTTATTAAATCATATTACAACGAAATTGTTTCTTAGATCAAAATTGATTTCGGACCTAAAATCGTCTTCTAGTCTAAGCACTTTTTTGCTTACTGTTCTCACTCACATGCAAGTGAATTATATTTTTCGGTTCTTATGCAATTCTTAGGCAATTATTGCCGCCACCAAAGAAGTGGCTGCAAAACCAATGTATGGCCGTTACGCAACTTGTTATTGTAATGTCTTTGCTGGAACTTTCTATCTACTGGTTCGAATTGCGGGTTTTCACGATGTGCCTTTTGCTTTCACCTTGTCATTATAGTCCCGGATATTGTCGTCCCTTCTTGTACAACGATTTCATTTGGTCCGGACGACTCGAACCTTCTTGAATCTCAGAATTGTTACGAACTGCTTTTAATTTTATTTGTGGCAGTGCCGGTAGCTCATGCTTTTCCCAAGGCGGAGTTTCCCCTTGCCAAAAAAGCACGCAACATATTATCGATAACTATTGACGTCTCACAATTCTACACAACTCGATCTCTAATAAGCATTAATTTTACATAAACGACGAAAACTAATTTCTGGGCATATGTTCCGACCATGCGCACCCACCCAACCTAGGATGCCAGACAACTGAAGGCTCCATCTCCCCTACAATGAACACTCACTCAAACATTCTGGTAAGTTCACTCGTTTTTATAAACATAAACATAATTTTCGACTAATTCTAACATTATTCACATTTCCTTGTCAATCCCTCATCAGCAGCAATCACCCTTATTCGTCGACTGCTTCTGGGAAGTTCAAAGCCACAAGTCTAGGAAGCAATTGGTGGTGCTTTGGAAGACGGCACTACAACGTATTTACATACATACATATAGCGTCACCTAATCTTGTGGAGCTCCAAGGGATAAGACTGGTCGTGCGAACCAAACGTGAGTAAGGGTTGTATTTCCCTGTAAGACTAACTAAATTCTCGCGACCCCAATTTAGCGGCCATTGATATGGACGACGACTACAATTTGGCCTCGCGTTTGACATTGGATTGATTAACAAAGATCGAGTTTAAAAAAGTGGTAATTAATAAAAAATTGAGTTTTAAATTTCAGCGCCAGGAATAGAAGTAGCAGTTTACGAGTGTTAACGGCAAACGGTCGACGCCTCACGGAATACTATCTCAGGATTGTACTGGAGTCAAAGGAGGCTGCACCGGAAGACTCCCAATCCAACGAACGTGGTTTTTCCTGTGTTCAGTTACTAGTTGGCTATATATATATAAATTTAAGTTTAGCTGCAACTTGATAGCTCGTCGGTATGGCTACGATTGACTATGATTTGCATTTAATCATGCTCCCCGCCATATTCCTAATCCTCTCCTTGGGTCATTGGACACAATCCAGACCGTTTTAGAATAATCCCGGAGCGAACCGGGATTATGTGTGTTTAATTTTGTACAAGTCATTATTATGCCAAAATAATGTGTTCTGATATTGACAGAACCGTTAAATTGCCAAATGTTGAGCTTTGGGATTTTATTAGAAACGCTCTATAACATTTAAAAATTTAAGAATTTAAAGGAATAGTTTTTGAATGTAATCACCATTCTTCTATCTCCTTTTTTGTAAATAATATAATCAATTGCATATCTCACTTATCTGGTAACAGGGATTCTAGTTTAGAGTTATATCAGCATTAAGGGTCTGGGCAAATATAAGAAGGCAAGGGGATTCTTTCAGTATTCAAGGGTTGATTTTATTATATTGCATTGCATGTTACTGAACATGTATTAATGCAACTAGAAATTGTATGTACATATATCATCATCCTGATGAGGAAAAGGTTATAAAAGCTAAAAGGCTAAAACAGGAAATGTGAAATAAAAAATTGTCTTAGTAGTAGACTACTAAATTGGAAGAAAAAATTTATTAACAGGATGGGAGAAGAGCACTTGAAATCTTGTCGCATATACATAAGTAAGAAGAATTGAACTAAATCATTTCTACGGAATAGATAATAGACTTTCTTTTAAATGGAGGTAACTTTATATCGAAAAGTTTAAAAGGCAAAAAAATTAAGATCTGAGGACATAATTAACATTATTAATTATATTTCCACATTAGAAATTACCACATCAGTCAAAGGATGGCGCTTACTTCTTTTTGAAACCCAACATGGTGTTGGCCATTCGTCAACATTTGTCAATTATAACTAGAATGTGGACACGCAATGCTTCAACTTGATTAAAAATGAGCAGCTGAATTTAATGCATTAAATGTATATTAAAATTAATTTTTTTAAATGTTATCAAAATCGATTTAATTGACAAAAGACTTCAAAATAACCTTGCCTCTTAAATTAAATAAACACTTAACAAAACATTTTCTTTTATTTCCTATTTATTTGAGTTTTAACTGACTTGTCTCTGTGGATGCTCCTCCTCATCCTGAGCTCCTTGGTCTTCTTACTTATTTATTTATTTCTTACAGATTTAAAAATTTATATTTGCTTCCACATCTCTATTCCTCGAAATATTTTATACATAAATTGGTTGTATAAATTCTCGGTATAATGGCATTTTAAAAAATTGTAATTGTATAAATAGTAAACGTGTAGAAAGAGAAAAATACAATCTCCTCGAAAAATGTGAATCAATTTTCATAGTTAATAAAATTTTAAAAATATTGAGATATCTTGCAACTTGGAACGTGCTCAGTAAGCGCAATAGTACATATTTCAAGATAGCGCAGAAGTGTTATTAATACAGCGGTTATTGATACCGATTTCCTTGTGGTATTAGTACAAAATACGGTGGAATTTTCTAATTACTTTAGCTCCTCGCACTATTACCAGATATTCTGGAAAACTGTGGATAGTTTTGATTAATTTTTATGGATCCGTACTTCAATTCAACCTAATTTCAATGACTCTTTAATATCATAACTTGTCCCACTGTTTTGCCTTTTTCTTAAAAACTGTGGATACATTTTTTTATACAAATTTTCCTAAAATGTCCCTAAAGAAATTTCATTAAGTTGGTCTAACGTGCATTTTGGAACACGCTCTGCGAGTGGAATATTCCCACAGAGGGAATCAATTTTTTAATTTCACAGTTTATACACTTTCATAAGCCTATAAACATAAGTCGTATATGTTTATTAATTAAACATTTCGGCATTGTTAAAATATTGAATTAAGTTCCAAATCACGAAAAAAGAAATACAATAAACATCCATGTTTTTTTTACGTTCTTCTAAGCTTATTTTTATTTTTCCATCGTACCTTAATCGCCGATGGCTCCCTGACGCTAGCTTGACGAGCATTTTATTTTATTGCTTACCTTCCATTTGTAACAGTATTAAAAATTTTTGTGTGCACAGCCACACAGAATGTTTGGTCACATGATATGTTCACCTGACAAATTCACAGTATTCATTGAGGAAAAGTTTGCTGAAAACTTTCTGAAACTTTGCTCTATATTCGGTTAAACAAAAATTTTAAAAAATGAAAATCTGTGGTCCTAAACTATCTCTTTGTGGTCTAATTATCTCTGTTTGGGGTATTGTCCAATTGGTGAGTATTAAGATTCCAATTTTGTCAGTAGTGAAATATTAACCATATACATATTTATATTAAAGGTTCTAATGGGTCTATTCTTCTACATAAATAGTGTAGCCCTTATTGAGGACTTACCGCTAGAAGAGGAATACCACTCTTTGGAAGATTTTTATGCAGCAGCAAATAGAGCATACAACCAGGTACGTCTTCGGTATGGATTTATTTTTTTTTACTAATTTGAGGTAATTTTTTATTTGCTTTCAGAATGCCTACAATTGCTGGATTGCAGCATGTATCTATGTTTTGACCTTGTTGCTATCCGCCCAGCAATTCTACATGAATAGCAGAGTAACTGCTAACTAATAATTTGAAATGTAGTTACCTAACTACTTAAAACTAGTATTGAAATTTTCGCTTCGATATATTTGTTAGAAGTGTTTTTCTTGTAATAAAGTTAAAGTTCAATTTATATACTGTAGAATGCTTAATGCATTAAGGGTTGAGATGTGGTGTTTGTGTTTTTAAAGATCCATTAATTTCATTTCCTTTATTGTTATTGTATTCGAAACTTCTTTTAAGAATTTCGATAAATAAAGCTACTGCCCTTCGCATCAGTCATGAAATCACTTTTATATTATTAAAGAGGTCAATCTCAACAACTTATTGAAAACCTGGGAAATCGCTTAAAAGAAACAATATATCCCTTGTCCATAATTTCTTAGAGATTTTTCCTACAGAAAGCCTTAAGAACGGTATTTAAATGTTTGAATAAAATTGTGTGGAACGTTTTGGCGATTTTTCAAACGTCCATAATGATTATTTCTCTCAATCGTAGCAGACCTGAATTCCAGTTATACTTTTTTAAATGCTATTATTAAATTTACCTGTTTTTTTGAACAAGTTCATCTTTAACGCTAGGAGTATTATTCAATGATTACACGATTATTGATACAATCAACAAACGAAAAAATAGTTTCAAAATAAAAGTTTTATTTATTCTTTGTATACCATTTGATTATACTTTAGATTTAACTATACTTATATTAAGGCTTAAGCTAGGATCAATTTTATATTTTTATGTCATTTAATTCACGTAAGTACTTGCTAATAACTTCGTGGAGCTGCTAATATAATTTTGACGATTTTGGAATGACCCTAAAATAATGTTTAAATCATACAAAATATATTACTCAGAAATGGTTAGTTACTTTGATTTGGTGATTGGAGCGGTTTTTGTTAGTTAATAACATCAAAACGTAAATTTTTATGGAAATTTGTTGTATATTAAATCAAAAGATACGGAACTTCAAGAGCTATACAGCTTTGAAATTCGTTTTCAAAAAATCCACAAAAAGTGCAAAAAGGTAATATTTTCTTATTTATTCTATTTAGTCAAAATTTGTTTGAAAAGCATAGATAGTTTGAAAGCATAAAAGCATGAAAAGCATAGAATGTCAAGAACACCGGTCGCCAAGCAATATTGATTTTAAAACCATAATCGAGGAAATGGGTAAGCCGCAAGTTCAGGATTAACCGCAGTCCTTGCTCAAATGGCGCACATCTACCGCCCATCGCAGGAGTCCGGACTTTGGCAGGTATTGAGGGACAAGATCCGATTCGGTTTCCTGGATACAGCAAAACAATATGCAGGTGAATAAGGTGCATGTCAATATCGCTGTGGACGACCAGACACGTCACAAAAGTGGCCCGAGTGCGGTCGACTGGGCAATTCGAGAGCGGAAGGAATTCACCCAGTTAAGAAAAGTCTAAGCTTATATTCTTACCAGCGGAAAAAAGGAGGCGACGCTAATTGGAGGTATGAAATCGAATTTTCACGGAACATCAAATGAGCGGATTGCGGCTAATTTCAGAAAGCGAGGGAAGCTCGTGGAAGCACTAGGTGCCACGGTTCAGTCTTTCTTCTCGGTGGTGAGAACGGCGCCTGGCTTGGATTTGCCTGCAATTTATGGGAAATGAAGTACTTCTAGTCTACAATATTGTTCTACCTGGTCCTTACCTGGGACAAGCTGCGTACTTTGGGATCGATTTCTGGCGAGCGTTCGGGTTAGCACTATCCGTTCCGAAGCTTGTGTTGGTGAATTTATTTTTGCTTTTGACAAAGCCTTTAATAAATAAAGCTTTTAATAAATTCTTTAATAAATCTATTTTATTCACATAAACTTTGTTTTAATTTGTGCACTATTTCAAACAAGGCAATTAAACCTTTTGTTTTTTTGTCTTTGTAATCTGTTTACTGCTTGTTTGGTGTTGTTTTTGTATACACATATGTAAACTACACTGTGCCCCGCTCTCCCTCTCTCACCCACACAAAATCCAAAGTTCTAATCGTGCTAACTGCGCTCTTGCTAGCTTGCAAGTATAATATTAATTTTGTTTCTTTGTAATTACCTGATCAGCCAAAAATGACTTGCTGGTTGTGTGATAAAATGGTGCACTCTAAGTGCGCTGGTTTTACCGACCAAACAAGTGATGACCTAGCTAAGGGCCCTAATGTAAAAGTACTGTTATGTAATGTAATGTACTGTTATGATGCTTGCCTAGGGGCAACAGGATGAAATCGATTATGATCCAAACTTAAGGTGGCTTGAAAGGACTAGCAGTTTTGGCGTGGCTACAGATTGTTTTCGTCGAGTTGATAATCTCCTTTCCACGATAGATTGGCAGATTAATAGCCTTAAGCTATTAGAGGAATTGCCAAAGCGCAAGAAAGCCGCTGGGGGTAGGCTGCATAGGTTCTACTAAAAAAAAATGTTCGTTTCTCGGCTTTCCCCTGATTAAACATCATCTGATGTATTGTTTTATATACAAGTCAAAACAAAAGCCGACAACATAAAAGTGAAAGAATGTAAGTTTTCCTACGCTAGGGACATTTCATCTTTCAAGATATCTGCCCCTAATGAGCTGTTTTTGACCATATGTACTGTTGATTTTTGGCAGAAAAGAGTTCGAAGTTAAGATCAAAAAACAGGGCCATACTTTATCCTCTTCAGAAAACTAACATCTAGTCTTGTACAAGAGGCTTGTGTAGCAAGCTAACTAATTGTCGCCAGAGATACTTAACTTTGAAGTTTACCCAGGTGTGTACACAATATTCAAGCACGATTGTCCCCCCAGGCGGGGAGGTGTATTCCCGTAATTTTTTGATGAGTCCCGTAACGTAGAATTCATCTAAATCATTTGTCCGCTATCTATGCCGTCTCAAATAAGCTGTCCGATAGGGACCACCAATTGGTAGTTTTAGGTGATTATAATATACCTGGCACTACGTGGTCCATAAAACAAAAATTGAATATCTTTATCTCTTTATATACGACGACAAGTCCTGAAAATGTGTTTCTGTCCAGAGTAGCTTCTTTTACTCAACCTGAAGATCCATTTTCAACACTTCAACTCCAAAGTGACAATCGACAAAGGTACCGTACTAAAAGAGAAATCAGAGAACTCAACCAAACGAATTGATTGGTTTTGTAAGGCAACCTTTCTAAGGCTAAATAATGTAAAATTTTACAACAGTTACCTAATTCCCGGCCCGAATTATGTAGGGGAGCAGGGACGTTCCCCTAAAAAATTAGATGCTTCGGAATCGGATGTGTTATCTGCCTCGATTTCCGCTGTTTCGTAGGATGACTTTACCCTATACTCCTGGTCATTTGACTGCTCTTGAGTCGTATAGTTCAACCGTTGACGACTGTGAGCTGTCTGCTCGCCCCTGAATTTAGAACGTGATGTGGGATCGACGTCCATTGGTTCAGGGCTTAGATTTTGCGCATAGCCTTTTCGAGGATTATTTGATTCATTGCTCTGTTGCGTTTGGCCTTTACTTCCTAGGTTTTTAGAAAACTGAGAACTATAAGCTTGATTACTAGTGCCCGGTGCATTATTGTTTTGGTTTCGCTGGAAAGCACCCTGGGAGTTGTGGTGGTTATTACCTTGTGTGGTGTAATGAAAGCGGTTACCCTGGCGACGGTTTTCCGAATTGTAAGATTTTTCTTCTACATTTTTATTAAAGCTCGCAACGAACCAGGCTCGTTCATTGCAAGACTCCGCCCGTTGAGCCACGGCTAATGCTGATGGCAAATCTTTGAGCGCAGCTGAGAGAATCACATATTTATGTCATAAGACAACAAAGTCTTACTAATAATAAGAGTTGGCTTTTTCTCAATCTCTTTATAAAAGGTCATTAGGGGGAGTTCTCCCTGACGCATAGTAACCATTTGCTGCTGGGTTACCTCGATTGGAGTTTGTTCTGCATATGCGCGGTCCATTCTAGCTATTATAGCATCGAAATTTAGTACTGTATTATGTGACGTAAGCATTACTCCCGCGGGACCTATTACCTTGTTACGTATGATTCCTACGGCCTGATAGGTTCTAGAACTACCCAAAAATGGTTTGTAGATTTCGTAGGCGTTAACTGCTGCGGCTCGCCATGCGACATACTCATCTTGTTTGCCGTCAAAAACTGGTATTGACTTCACCAAGTCTAGTGGTTCATTACAAGGGATAGCTACGTTGTTTTGTATTTGCTCGTATACTACTAAGCGTACACCCTCATTTATTCTCTGCCTATTTTCAACCTCTTTAAGCTTGTCTGAGAATATTTTTTGTTGGTGCTCTAGTGCGCCATTTACGGCCGCTTCCATGAGCCTAATTACATATTTATTACTAATGGTACCTAAAGATTTCGCCTGTTCTTGTGTTGGTGTTGCCTCTTGCCCGAGGTTGATTTTGGAATTCCTGATCGTTAACCTTTTTTACTTTGTCCATTAAGTTTTATATTATAAATATTAAATATTATATTTGAAAGTTTCTCTTTTTTGAAAGTTTTCCGCTGGCTCGAATTAGTCGTATCGCGGCATGGAAGTTGAAGCCATTCCGAACTACAAATACATCATAATGGCTTTAAACTGTACACGCTCTAATTCTAATTAATTATAACTCTACACCCATTTAAATTTAGTACGTTATCCACGGCAACATATTTGAAAGCTATCGATCGCATTGTAAGTTTTAATGGCAAGAAATGTCCTTATACTGCAGGCACAATTTAACATAGTCTGCGTACATAAATACCCGCGAATATTTTATTACCGAAGGAGTCGTTAATAAATAAAGTAAAAAGAATGAATACAAGAAAGAGAATGTTTAAAGAGGACCCGTTGCGTCCTGGCATTCAAAAATTTTAAAATCAAATTTAGAAGATCAACAGTGAAACCTAATAATTCAAGTTACCTAACCAAAAAGGAATGAATAACAGAGACAAATGTCTTATTAATGTAAGTGTAGTGTATTAATATAAGTGTCCGCTATTCACCCTGTCTCAAATAAGCTGTCCGATAGGGACCAATTGGTAGTTCTAGGTGATTTTAATATACCTGGTACTACGCGGCCCACAGAAGAAAAATCGAATGTCCTTCTTCCTGTAGCTCGTCACGACCTTATTGAAGGCTTGCTCGACTTATCGTTGTCGGAAGTTAATTATATTCGAAACTCTCTTGGTCGATTTTTGAATCTATGTCTTGTAACAAAACCTGAATGTGTGTTTCTGTCCAGAGTGCGTTTCTTACTCACCCTGAAAATCCATATCATCCAACTTATGATGTGACAATCGACACAGATAGAGTAATAAAAGAGAAATCAACCAAACGAATTCATTGTTTTCGCAAGGCAAACTTTCTAAGGCTGTACAATTTTATTTCTGGCTTTAATTGGTCCGATCAATATTCCCGCAACATAATGGCGTATGCCATAATTATTTTGTATACCGCAATCAAATAATTGTTTAACTCTTGAGTTTCGATGTCCTATCCGTTTATCTCCAACAAACCTTCTTGGTTTAATAAAGAGTTGAGTTAAGAAATGTAAAGTCCAAACTTTTTAACGTCCTTATGGCTCAGTGTTACAAGAAATAATATATTTAAATGTTATCACTCCTCATTTGCAGCATCTTTGTATATCACCTTGTCAGCACGGTTGTATGAAACGCAGATCACCAACCATTAACCTTTTGAAGCTAACATCCTTCGTAATACAGTGTTTCAATGATAATCTCCACAGATGTCATCTACACTTACATTAATAAGACATTTGTCTCTGTTATTCATTCCTTTTTGGTTAGGTAACTTGAATTATTAGGTTCAACTGTTGATCTTCTAAATTTGATTTTAAAATTTTTGAATGCCAGGACGCAACGGGTCCTCTTTAAACATTCTCTTTCTTGTATTCATTCTTTTTACTTTATTTATTAACGACTCCTTCGGTAATAAAATATTCGCGGGTATTTATGTACGCAGACTATGTTAAATTGTGCCTGCAGTATAAGGACATTTCTTGCCATTAAAACTTACAATGCGATCGATAGCTTTCAAATATGTTGCCGTGGATAACGTACTAAATTTAAATGGGTGTAGAGTTATAATTAATTAGAATTAGAGCGTGTACAGTTTAAAGCCATTATGATGTATTTGTAGTTCGGAATTCGAGCCAGCGGAAAACTTTCAAAAAAGAGAAACTTTCAAATATAATATTTAGTTATTTTGTTATAATCGACCCAGTTATGAAAACCCGGCATCGCTTAAATAATTTGCTAAAGTTAAAAAATCACTTAAATTTTGTCTATCACTTAAATGAACGTATCATTGCCCCCCGATGTATAGAAACAGTAACGAAAACAACGACAGTTACGAGGACTTAATACAGAGCTATAAAGACATAAGAAACAGTAAACAGCAAGGGGGTTACATTGACGGTACTGAGACCGACGACGATATAGATTTAAAAAACTTAATGGACAAAGTAAAAAAGGTTAACGATCAGGAATTCCAAAATCAACCTCGGGCAAGAGGCAACACCAACACAAGAACAGGCGAAATCTTTAGGTACCATTAGTAATAAATATGTAATTAGGCTCATGGAAGCGGCCGTAAATGGCGCACTAGAGCACCAACAAAAAATATTCTCAGACAAGCTTAAAGAGGTTGAAAATAGGCAGAGAATAAATGAGGGTGTACGCTTAGTAGTATACGAGCAAATACAAAACAACGTAGCTATCCCTTGTAATGAACCACTAGACTTGGTGAAGTCAATACCAGTTTTTGACGGCAAACAAGATGAGTATGTCGCATGGCGAGCCGCAGCAGTTAACGCCTACGAAATCTACAAACCATTTTTGGGTAGTTCTAGAACCTATCAGGCCGTAGGAATCATACGTAACAAGGTAATAGGTCCCGCGGGAGTAATGCTTACGTCACATAATACAGTACTAAATTTCGATGCTATAATAGCTAGAATGGACCGCGCATATGCAGAACAAACTCCAATCGAGGTAACCCAGCAGGAAATGGTTACTATGCGTCAGGGAGAACTCCCCCTAATGACCTTTTATAAAGAGATTGAGAAAAAGCCAACTCTTATTATTAGTAAGACTTTGTTGTCTTATGACATAAATATGTGATTCTCTCAGCTGCGCTCAAAGATTTGCCATCAGCATTAGCCGTGGCTCAACGGGCGGAGTCTTGCAATGAACGAGCCTGGTTCGTTACGAGCTTTAATAAAAATGTAGAAGAAAAATCTTACAATTCGGAAAACCGTCGCCAGGGTAACCGCTTTCATTACACCACACAAGGTAATAACCACCACAACTCCCAGGGTGCTTTCCAGCGAAACCAAAACAATAATGCACCGGGCACTAGTAATCAAGCTTATAGTTCTCAGTTTTCTAAAAACCTAGGAAGTAAAGGCCAAACGCAACAGAGCA